GTCGCGTTATAAGGAGAGGTTTGTACACGACACTGAACATTAAAAATCATGGTCAACAAGACGATGGCCAATGTCATAGTTCTTAGAGCACTGTTCTCTGATCGCCTCAGATTGACTTATTTTGTGGGAAAAAACACCTTTTGACAACGACAAATAAGCCAGACACTGGCATTGCCGTCCTTTTTAGTACACGTTTTTCGCCGTTCGTTGGACCATCTCTGACGCCCGATAACTAAGTCGCCGACGAAATTCAGTGTCTGCTTTGCTTCTCAGAGCCCTGGACATGGGACCCATAAGCACGTTCTTCGCCCCCAATTAAAAACAACTACGAGGCTGCCACACTGCCCACCGTCTTGATCTGCTTTTTAACGACACCCTGAAACTACATATGGCGCTTTGAGAGGGAGAACCTGCATATGGGCACGCAGGCTCGCGAAGCCTGACATGCTTTACGATTTCTCCATCTAGAGTTTTAGTGAACTTGCTCCATTTAGGGTGTCGGATGCCATGGACAACTTGGGTTAGTCAGGAAACTACTCGCCTATGGCCAAATTACGTTCAATAGTGGCTTATTTTATTCTTATGAAGTCCGGGATACCATCTGATTGCTAGAAGTTATTCATAACGGAATTTTGCATATAATGATCACTGTCCCTTAATCCCCTTATTGCCATTTCTTGTTATTTCTTCGTAACAATGTGCGGCATTGTTTGATTGAGACCTTGCTTTCACCGCAACTGTCCTATTTAGCTGAAAGCCACTGCTTCAACATTTTAGTTCCTTGCCCTCGCACGCTTTTGCGGAGTATATCCGTCCTGCCTCGTGCGTGCACACGTTTTGGTTTAAGTTTACAATAATGCAAACTGCTCGTTTTGAATCTCTTTAAAAGTAATGTGTTAACTTGATGTAAAGCAATTGGAATAGAGCTCCTGGGCTCGGTTCAAGGCGTCGTGCGTTGCTGAATCGCGGCCTCAGCGTCGCCAGGGTTGGGGCTAATCAAACGCGCCCACTTGCGCCTAATCGTGCCTGAATCCCGAGTCGTGGAAAATAATCGATATAAATTGTGCGAACGACCCCCTATGCTGAGGACCGGCGTGCACGTCGCCACTCAGTCCCGGTGAATTGCATTTTCGTACCTTTCCGGGTAACTGACGTTAGTTTGAAATCAGAAATTACTAGAATACAATTTCTTAAAAAATTCTGGCCTGTTTTTGATTGCGTGTTTTAGTTCAGAGTCGGCCGTGTTTGCTGCCGAGGCTGTCAAGTTGGGTGGCAGTCCAGATGCCGCATGGATGCGCGGTGGCCCCGCTCTGGTCAAACGATTTCTGGCACTCGAGCATCTTGTCATCTCGATGCGTCTTTTGCGCCGGGGACTCTGTCAATTGGCCTCGTCGCCTGAACTATACTCGCATCTTAGGTGGCGTTTGATCAGCAGCCACGCCGCAATGTCTGCCGCACACTACGTCCTCGGTGAGTTGTTGGTGGAAATGTACACCTACCCTCATTATACGGCTGTTTAATTCCTTTGCCGCAAATATGCATCCAACGGGAGGCCCTGTGTGCCGTTCGGAACATCTGCCTCACACACTCAAGGTGGTCTCGACTTTGGCTTGTTGTTTTATCCGCTCCCTGCGGCCTAATGACGCAGGATTTTCTGCGTAGGAGCTAGTGAAATTGTCTGATCGGCTGTCAACGGATCTGATGTCGAGACCCCGTCCTTTCCCAGCTATAGCCTTTGATTAATCAACTGTCGGATATGGGTATATCGTGATCACCAGACGACTAGTGGCCTAACTTTAACCCAAACCGCCCCTGGAATTGAGCGCAAGGTCACACGTAATACGACAAGGTGCGCATTCCCGGTCCCAACGTAATGAAGTGTCCTGCGCTCCGGAGACGGTCAAGGAGAGAGCTCTGTAAGTTGGGGGCTTTACCCGTTAAAGCGGCTTAAATATAACGGAGGTGATAGGGCCGGTGGATTCACCCATCTCCGCAGTCAAATAGAGGCTTCTCCTAGTAGCGCAGGCTGGAGGTTTAAAGACAAATCTCGCAATCTGCACTATGTGTCCACTTTGATGTGAGGGCTACTTCACTGGGCACAGCCGTAAACTGCGAAGAAGCAGAAACTTGGAGACTGAAAATGGGCCATAGTGGACTTTAGATGCATGACTGTCGGTGATGGCAACAGTGCAGAGTTGATGAGCATGTATCTCACGCATAGGACCACCTGGCGTCCACCTCATAACGCTGAATGACCCCTGATCATATCCCTGGGAGCAAAAATTATACCATTCTCCGCTCCATCGCAAAGCAGAATCGCGAAATGCCGCTTCCATTTGACCAATCTTGATAATCCGTGTTCTTTTGTTCTCCCAGGCATTGGTGACCGTCATCCGCACAACTTCCTCATAGATCTGTCTTCTGGCGACCTAATTGGCATCGATTTTGGATACGCTTTCGGAGTGACAGTAGTGGCCCTGCCGACCCCAGAGTACGTACCCATTCGCCTGACAGCCAGCCTGCGCGAACTTTTGGAACCCTCTGGTCCGGCCGGACATTTCGGTGTAACCCTGAGTCAAGCGCTGTCAGCTCTGCGCAGCTCCTCAAACCTGTTCTTCTCTATCCTAAAGGTAAAGCCCTTTTGCCCCGTGAGTATGACTGTCCCTCTTATGTTTCAGAGGACCGTTGACTGCGGTCAGACTGAATAAATAGCCCGAGGTCCCCCAAGGTGAACAGCCCTGTTGCGGTAGATCGAAAAGGGACCAGGTCTTCTGGCATTAGACAAGTGTCGGAGCTCAGTGGAGGTATGCCACTGCATGTACCAAGATACAGCAAGGATAGCTCTTATCTCAATTGGGCAGGAGTGCTAATAAAGACCACATTAAGAAGCAGCCATTGCAGTCTGAATGAGTTGTTCCGTCGGTTAGCAGCCCTCAAAGTCACCACTCTTGTCGTGGTATATTACGACGCGCCATATTTGCTCTGATGACGAATCAGCTGATTTGTCGTGGGAATGTAGTTTCCATTGTCCGCCTAACTCTCCCCATTCCCTCTCTAATGCACTAGTCGACCGTACAAGACTATCAGCTAGCGACCGATTGGCTTTGAGCACAGTAGCTGACGCGAAACTGAGGCCTATGTCTTGGGCGTGCTATCGCACGCATGTACAACAGCAGTTATAACCTCGCGCACTCCTCGCAGCCCGCTGAAGGCGTCCTGTAAGGCAGTCTGGTTTCCGTTTTGGCCCAGCACATCCTCGCTGAGTTCCCTCAGCCCTGTTCAAAACGCGGCCCATTGTGGCGTTCCCTGTCAACTCGCTCTAGTCTCCAACAACAATCTTCGAGTTTGCTCTGTTATCCGATGTCCACCTTTTTACGGTATGTTTCAGTCAAATCAGCTGGGGGCATTGTTTGCCAACGCAGGCGGTAGCGTTGACTTTTTTTAACAGTTTGCTTTTTACGCAGACGTTCATCGCCGATGACTCAACCGCCGACTGGCCAGCGTATGCCCTACAGGTCGGTCAGACAGGGGAGACTTTCCAGGCAAGTCGCCTAACTCTCGCACACAGTAAACTCCTCGGCCGTTGCCCTGTCCAGCTCCTAATCGAGGACTGCGCTCTGCGTTTTGCCAGTCGACCCTGGTTTGCCGACTGCGCAAACACGCTACGAAAAACGGCTGGGGTGACAACCACTGAAGCCCTGTCTGGGGCGCAGCTTATACCAGAACAGCTACTCACGCCTGCAGAGCAAACGCGCCGTCTGGTTTGTCTTTCGACTTGTCCAGAACTCCTTTCTCGAATGCATCCAGGCTGGAATGCATCGCTGTGATGTACCTACTCCGTTAGTCGCCCCTCCCTTCGCCTTCTCGCATTGTGTTAACTTCCGCTCCATCATATTTACCCAAATTTGTCGTATAAAATTTGCTACAACCTACGAGTGTTTTTTTGGATTGAATGACCAATGGACGAGATCTTGGAGATAGCAACAGGACGCAGAGGTGTGTTAGGTGTGTCTGCGCACCCAACTACAGCGAACGGCATTTTAGCCCGTAGCCGAGCATTATCGCGCCTGCAACAAAAAACACAAAGTCACCTAGCCCTGGCAGCGATGACCAGCGGTATTAGGCTGTGCGTAGTCGGATGCCAGCTCTTTTGTCCACGCAGCTGCAGGCAGCTTGAGCAAAAACATCCGCAACGAGCAAGAAAGAGGGAGATTGTACGGCCATTATTTCACGCGTCTTCCCGACCGAACTATCGCGGGTTGTATATGTATGCACTAGCTTGTAGCTGGTCTGCCAAGGTTGAGGTTACAAGTTCCACTGGAAAAACCAACTGCAAATTTCATATTTAAATTCTCCTCATCTATGGCACTCAGGTTTGCATCAAGGGACAGGTCTTTTGGGATTTCATGCTAAACTGAATCCTTCTACTGATTGACTGTTTTATCTAAAACACAGTGGGCAATTTGTCGTCTTAGCAAGCGGAGTGCGAGGCCGAGGCACATGCAAAAACTTGTGACCGTCGGCGTTCTAGCCGATATGTCGGTTTGAGTTCGCTAGGAGATTAAAACTTCGTCGGCGCCTGCGATCAGTTTGTTTCTGCTCTTGTATTCGCTGACGGTCAAACGGACCGACTTCTGTACGCGCCAGCTCTATCACGTGCGTCGAATTGGAGCGGGTTATCACTGACTCCTACTGTGAGTGCCGCTGAACTGCAGAAAGCTTAGCAATCATCGGGTGAGTTCGTTGATCACTTTCTACGTGGATAGGTCTGACGTGTTCAGTGGTGACAGCGCCCTCCTGCCCGCCTGCCCTCCTGCCCATAAGGCAGACGCAGGTGAACTCTACAGCGACCTTTGCTCTGTCCGTCTTATTGTGACAGGCGGCATCATAGTGCTCCCGCATATATCCGTGGGTGTTCTGAATTTAGCTGGATAAATTCAGAAAAATAAAATAACGTCGTCAAAGCCATTTATTATACAAGAGGGCGCACAGTACTGTATTTATGAATTTTTGGTAGCATCAAAAAACTCTAGAGGTCTTGAACCAACGACTTTGGCAGAATGGGGGACAGTCTTGGGTACAACTATTGTGTCTCCGTCTTTCAGAAGCACTGTCTTGCCAAAAATTGTGAACTCTAGTTCGCCAAAAACAACAACGTCCTTCTTATCAACATCGTGTGTGTGTTCTCCGAAGACCATTCCAGGATTAAACGTGTACGGAACGCAACTATAACCCTGGAAAACGGAGGATTTCTAAGTAAGGTTAGAGAAATGGCAACAGTCGGGACCTGAAATAAAGACAATTAAACTGAAACGTACCTCTCGTTGTAGCTTAGCTTCCATTGTTGTGCGAGACAATACACCGTCAGCAGCCGGATCCCAGTGGCTAATGATCAATTCGCCCATCCTAGAAAATAAAAAGACTGGAACTTCAGCAATTCATCAGTTAAGATCGATTCTTTTTTTTCCAGAAGTGGTACCATCCTAAATTAAACCGTGTGCAGCCAGATCCCTCTCATATTGCAAGAATTCACAATATGCTGTAAGGAGACACCTGAACTAAAAAAGAACTTGGTTGTAAGAGCATATGCTTTGTGGTATATACCACTGTCCTGAAAAACCGGCCTGGAGCATTCAAGGCGCGTACATCAAAACAATAAGACAGCTTATTATTTCGATTGAAGGAAGACGCAGCCTATACTCCGTCCATGTGGACCGATGGGTAGATGTAAAGTGAGTTTCCAACTTGGCCGCATTCACTGCATGTTAAACTGGAGCATACGCAGGCTCCACACAACATCATTTGGCGATCTGCGTGCAAAGGAAAACGCATCATAGGATGGTTCAGTTATTACAAAACTTAGAAAATCCATGGGATAGAATTGTGGACACCACTTCAGGCATTAGCGCCTAGACTAAGTGGTCTTACAAAGACACCCACAAAAGATCTAACGAGGGAATCCACGTCGACATATGAAGAAAGCTCATCGCTAAAAATAAGTTTCTCCACATAAAGCCATGAGACATAATTAACCGTACTTAATGATCGGTTGCCAAAACCCCCGGGGTGACAGCAACGAGGACACCAAACCCACCTGCGGGAAGGCGAGGCGAAGGCCGAGTTTAAGTACAACTTGGGTAACAAGGCTAAGCTTGTAATTTATTTAAAGCTATTTGGTAGCCGTTTGATATTTAGTACGTTCACTATTGTATGCTACTTCTAAGGAAGATTCACGCGCGTCTGGAAATACTGAGATCAAAAAAGCAGTGTTTGGCAGAAAACATCCGAGTCCATGACCAAGATGAATCCGGTCGAAGCTTGTGGTCGTCTTATCTCGCGGATGGCGATCCCACTTCCAAATTTTTCGGCACCGCGTGGCCCATACTTTCCCAACCTTTTCGAATTTCCCAACTCCGCTCATTATAATTATGCCGAAATCGAATGACTAAACTGCACTGCTCTTCCATATCTTCCCGTAAAACATTTCCCTCCTGAATGACACGTATGAAATCTCGGATTCAGAGAACTCACAAATTTTCCACCCGAGGCTTGCTCTTTTTTATCCAGAAGCATGCAATTGAGAGCTTCTGAATATTAGTCCCTGGCGGGCGCCATGCTCATGCAGAACTCAAAATCAGCTGTGTTAAGCACAGTTCGCTATTTAAAAATGTGCAAACTTTGTATTAATTGTATGCTCTGTGGCCTAAGAATAAACTATTATTTAAGAGTTGCAAAAATTTCAATAAAAAGATTCAGAGGGCTATTTTGCTGACGTTGTCTAATCACTACAACGGCTGACGGAGGAGCAATGCAAATTCCTCTGAGTAATGAATGCTAAACAGCTCTGGATGAAATTTAGGTCCAGTTGATGGCTTTCGAATAAGGAGGCCTGTGATCCATTGCTTATCTTGGATGCTGAAAACAGCGAATGCCCGATTGTTTGCGTGTCCTCACAGACGAGTGAAACGGGTGCGTCTTGCTTGTTAGAAGCTGTTAAAAGGAAAGCGGCCCTATGATAAAATAATTAGTGTTATGCTTTAAGACGCCGGATGCGCGCTATCAATGCAGATTTAAACTTGCTTGAATCCCAAATTTCACAGTGGTGTTGCACTTGGACTCTGCACGAGCAACCAACTGCGCAATGCATTTGAAAATAGGGGGTTGTGTAAAGTTATTGAACCGGTTGTAATTCACCGACAACTTTTATTTTCGCTTAAAATATCCGTGATGTGAATGTTCACGTATCCAGAACGGGATGTTCTTAAATAAAAGTTTGCTCATTTCAAGGCAGTGTCTGGCTTTCGAAATTGAGCCGCCATTGTTTTCCGCTCTCTATGCACATGCAAACTTTCTCATCTGTACATCTGTCGGCCTATTTCACCCATCCTATCTCGATTAGTTCTCCACTTTGTTTACCTGATCTACAGTAACGGGCTCATTTGCAGACTACGCCAACACAGTTTTGACGAAAGTAAGATCAGTGGCGGCCAGCCATCATAACGAGTCTGGCGTCATTGATCAAGACCTCGCTGCCTCAAGATCATTCACCCCTTGCAGCGAGCCGTTCCAGACGCACTGATCTGAAACCACTCGACCGACTTCAGCTCGAACGCACTTGCGTCCACACAATGTCGCGGTTACCCATGCGCAACTTGAACGTGCCACCCCTTTCAATCAGCAAAACAAGCCATTGGGACACCCCGCCTCGGCAAATGCAACACACACTGACTGTGCACAATAAACTCCTCATTCTGGTGCTTTCCGTCTTTTCCTTCCAATCTGGAATTCGACTTGATAATTGCAGCTCACGGACTGCACACATTCTCACTACCGTGCCTCTAAAGATCAAACTCGAATTTCGCATGCCATTTGCCGGCGATTTGGTCATTAAATATCGCTTGTGCTCTTCTGGTGTTATCTGTTTGACAAACTCATTTATTTCCATCATAAATGGTGGCTCTTTTTGCTGAAACTTCTGGAATGAGACTCTAAAATAAAGCGCATATTTTCACACCTTTTTTGAAACTGTACTATAACGAATAAATGCGACCACAACAGCACCAGAAGAAAGAAGCGAGTCGAGCTGAAAGAAAAGCTGCAAACTCTTCCTTGTCCTACCGACGAGTGCAGCATGTCTGCGAGGGTTGATAACCTTTCGAAAAGGAGTTTAACACCCGCCGAGTTAAGCCTACTGTCTAAAGGACTTAAATTCAACCTTAGCAATGTTGCGCCAGCAAACTTCCTAGCTGTGGAACCGACGAAAAAGCGGGCAGCAGTTGTAAGAAAGGAGGCGAGTGAGCTCGTTCGACTAAAGTTGATAAGACCCAATTTCTCCAGATTCGTGACTTTCAGTGGTCCCCGCATTGCACATGCATATGGCCTTCCAAAAGTGCCCAAACCAGATGCACCATTGAAGATAATAGTGCCGTTCATCGAAACGCCTAAATACAACCTAACCAAATGGCTATACAGGCATTTGAAGCACCTCACTAATGGATCACAATACAGCATCACGAACGCTCAGGCATTCCTTGAAAAGATTTAAGGTCTTAAAGTAAGTCCAGATGAAAGCATTCTATTTTTTGATGTTGTCGCTTTGTTTTCCTTAATATCACATGGCCTTGATATTGTGAGCGTGGCCTGATGCCTAAAAGAAAATTCCATCGACCTTTCAACACACCACTTCTTAGAAATGCTTAGGCTCTGCCTCGATAACTATTGCCAATTCGATGGTAGCTATTACCAACAAGTTAAGGGCATTCCAATGGGCTCGCCAATTTCGGGGCCAGCCGCAGAACAAGTCCACCAACGGCTAGACCAAGATGCTGTACAAAGTTTCCGACCGAAAATTGACTTAGATACGTAGATGACACATCTTTCATCGTCAAGACCTGAGACGTTAAGCGATTTCAACAGAGCTGGAATGACGCCTTTTTTGAGTCACAACTTTAGCGTGAAGAAGCAAAAGGAGGCACCCTCCCGTTCCTGGAGATGAACATACAAAGGCTCAGTGACGGCGGTCTCGCAACAAGCGTTCACCGGAAAGGCTCTGACGCTGGAATCATCCTGAACTATCAGAGTAACCACCCAGCAGCCCATAAAAGAAGCTGCGTTCGGACCATTTTCCAAAGGGTCTATCGTTACTGCAGCAGTGCCGATTTACTCAAGAAAGAACTTGCTTACTTTTATCGGTTTTTCCGACTCAACGGATACTCGGTGAGCTTTGTGATAAATTGTCTCAGACGCCAGAGACAGCCACAATGCGTCAACTCTAAGGGAGGCAGAGTGTCACGGAAATCCTACTCCCTGCCGTACATTCCAATAATTCCCGACGCGATCGCGCGACAATTAAACTAGTTCGGCATCTCCATCACCCACAAACCAGCGTCCCCATTCCGTACCACATTAACCCGAGTATAAACCCTATACCGAGGGAGCAGCAAACAAACGTCATTTACCACATTCCGTGTGCAAACAGCTCCAGCGTTTATGTTGGACATACCGGCCGACGACTTGTGACCGGCCGACCCGATCTTGTGACACCTGTCAACTCTCTTTCTTTGACTATGTTCTCCAATCTAGGGACCACGGTTTTGCTCTTTACACAGTATATTTCGATTTCACCAAGGCTTTTGACCGTGTTGACCATTCTCTTCTTCTCTTGAAACTGTCCTCTTTCGGAATAGGTGGCAAACTTTTGAATTTTATATCCTCTTACCTGGGCACTCGTACACAACGAGTTAAGATTTCCAATACCATCTCCAACCCCACACGTGTGAGGAGTGGAGTCATTCAGGGTAGTGTACTCGGCCCGCTTTTATTTTGCCTTTTCGTTAATGATGTGCCCGATTTATTTCAGAATGGTAAGCCTTTTATGTATGCCGATGATCTTAAAGTTGCATATCGATATAAGCCGGCAGATCATGACATCGTGCTTGAGCTCCCAAAGAGCGATCTACAGGCTTTCGCCCAGTGGTGCCGCACATGGCGCCTTTCTCTTTCTTGGCATAAGTGCTCAGTCATGGTGGTTGGCGACGACCGCCAACCTCAACTAAGTATTGAAGGTCACGCAATAAATGTGCCAGGGGTTATAAAGGATTTGGACGTATCATACTCCAAGAGTCTCAATCTCTGGTAGCACTGTGCCTTGATAGTCTCCAAAGCACGCAGAACGAACGGGTTTATCCTCCGAAACTTTAAAAATAGGGACATCAGAATGCGCCTTTACAACATGTACGTTAGACCTGGTCTGGAATACTGTTCGTTTTCATTGAGCCTCATGCGTTCTACTGAGCGGAAGAAAATAGAATCCGTTCAACACTTTTTTACCAAGAGAATTGTAACCCCGGAACACCGACATTTGTCCTACCAAGAACGTTGCCGGCTTACAGGCCTCGATTCTTTA